AAAGTATCTCACTGCTGCTACTGAAAGGGCATAGGAATGTCTTCCAGGGGGCTATTAGAAGCAAAACCTTGTATAGGACCTTCTGGCAGCCACAGCTCGGACAGTCTGAGTGCCTGTAGTCATGTCCCTTTAAGAATAAGATAGGCCAAGGAAAATTAACAGCTAGGATGACCAAATACTTACACAACACATTTCACACACAGGACTCAAGGAGGGATAAATATATGCTAAGCTAGAGTCTCCGATAAGCGTTTAGGAAGGCTAGACTTTTAGGAAGATTGTTTAGGCAAACAATATAAGGTGGTATTCAATTAAATATTTAATGGTATCTTACTAGGAATGCTCTAGTTGAGGAAACGAGAGCATTAAGAAGAGCTAGGATAGCGGAGGTAGGCCTTAAGTTGTACTTGAAAAACAGGTGAGGTTTGATTAGATGGAGAGAGGAAAGGATTTCGAAGTTCTCAGAAGGCAAGGAAATAGACACAAATATGTCGTACTCACCTTGTGTTTTAACACAGTCAAATGATAACATCAAGTTAATAGTGCCTTTCTGCTGACCACTCTGTAGAGCAGAGAAATCCAATGATTTTTGCCAAACACGAGTGTTAGAGAAGCCCACAGAGCAAGGGAGGCAAGCCTGGTGACATCAAAATGAGATCGGAGTCCGCAAACACAGACATGGCACTGTGTGTAGCTTTACAGTACCTTGATCCCCGTGTTGGACCCTATTGGGCCCCTCGCCCCGGGCAGACTCTGCAGGCCACTTTCCGCGTTCCCACTTAGTTGACGTCCAACATAGTGCCAGGCAGGACTGCTCTCCTTTCTCGTATTGTCCACACCAAGCTTCACACGCACTCTCCCAGCGTTCATCCTGCAATCCAGTGGGCCTCAGCTGGAGGCATACATTGTAATCACCTGGGGCATGGGCCACGGCCCCACCTGCACAGGCTGATTTCATTGATCTCGGGTGGAACCTGGGTACCAGGATATCTGTAAGCTCCTCGGGAGCTCTGATGCTCAGCGAAGGCTGAGAACTGGTTTCCTACCTGCCGGGGAGAACTCACCCCAGTCCCACCCTGCCTGGCTCAGGTGGAACCATTTGCAGCAAAATGTAAAGAATTTTAACTAGCTGGATAATGGCAGAACTGAAATTCGATTCCGAGTTTCCTGACTCCCATTCGCACTATTTTGCTTCGTGGCCAAGATACTTACACTTAAAGTTCTCTTAGCAATTTGATAGGCAAAGTGTGACCGGGAAAACAGAGAAGACTCCAAAAATACCGATGAAGGTTCCCTCCCCTATGATATTATTATGCCAAGTCCTTTTTGTTTCAAGGACCATTTGAAATCATTCACTGTGATTTTTTTTCTTTTTTTATTTAAATTCAATTAGCCAACATCATTGGTTTCAGATGTAGTGTTCAAGAATTATTCACTGTGATTTTCATTCACAGTCATTACAAATCATTCCATTTGTATCATTCACTGTGATTTTCAAGATGCTTTCAGTCCGCTCTCAATGGCAGGCAATGTATGGCACCTTAGCCTGAGTTCCACTCCTCTGATTTCTGGTTATGAATTCCCAGTTCCTGGGGAAGAGGCTTACATTTGAGTCAGAAGTAGCCAAAGGGGGTTGGAAGGTGTTTGCTTCTCTCGACCTTTTTTTTTTAAGTCAATCCAGCAGAATAAATGATTGTGTAAGAGGTTTGAGGGTGGGGAAACAGGGAAAATGGCATTCTTTTAGTATGACATTGCCCAAAGCATCTGTGCTGCTCTGTAATGCAGAAGGAAAAAGAGCCCTCAGATCTCTGCTGCTTTTTGCCCACATTTCGATATAATAAATATGTATGTCTAAGACACAGACATGCTCGCGGTTGGCTCTGTTATTCTTACGGAAGTAACAGGATACCTGGTTATGTTAAACAGCATTAGTTTCACCATTAATGCAGATGTTATGTTTTTATTACAGTAATAGTAATACAGTTCTATTTTTAAAATAATTCAGTGCACCCGCCTGCTTGCTTCCATGACCAGGTGCTCTTCTATTTGAAAATAGGGAGCAACAGGAAGAATTGGAAGCATCAGGGAGAACCACACGGGCAGGACTGAATGCAAGCAGCGGGTATTCCCCAAGGGAAGTGGCCATGGAGGCAGCAGTACTGAGCTGGTGATGATGAGGATGGGGACAGGGACAGTGATAGCACCAAGCCCTTATTGAATCCTTCACAGTTGTCAGCCCTCTTCTTGCGGGTTATTTTATCCCCACAGCAAACTCACTGTGACTCTCCAGATAAGGAGACTGAGGCCAAGGGGCAGTTACAGCGGCTTGCCCCAAACCACACGGGTCAATGTCCCTGACACAAATGTGAATATCGCCCTCCTACTCAGTTCTTTTACTTGGTAATGTGTCACCACGACCCCGAGGCAAAGTTAATGCAGCTAAGGTTGACTTCTCTTGATCCTCAGCAGCGTCGTTACTTTGCCATTATTTTTTAATTACCAGATTTTTATTTTTGTCATGGAAATATCCAAGAGGGCAAAGGCAAAGTATTTTTGTTCCACGTCTCACGTAGACAGCCGACAGGTTTGCCAGGAAATCACTATTGGAATAAATCTGGAACCATCACCATCCCTGAAGGACATTGCCCATCAGGTGATTCCCAGAGCAGGAAGAAGACAGGCAGCATGGGGCATCTGGGGGGCTCAGTTGGTTAAGCATCTGACTCTTGATCTCAGCTCAGGTCTTGACCTCAAGGGTCTTGATCTCAGGGTCGTGAGTTCAAGCCTCAGGTTGGGTTCCATGCTAGGCATGGAGCCTACTTAAAAAACATTACAAATAAAATAGGACTGCAGCAAGCCTGCAAAATGTAGTTACCATGAGCATAATCCCTGATTATGCCTTGGATGGGCATGATATTCCACTTGATGTGGAATATCAACAGGTGCGTCTCTACCTCTGATTTTCCCTCCAACAGTTTCTGAGAGCAAAGCCACATGCTTTTTGGTTTTCTCCTCCCTTTGAACAATTCTTCCTAATCCCTGCACTTCCTAATGTTTATATCATCGCACCATTGATCAAATATGCCTTTGAAATTCACCTTAAACAGATTTTGCCTGTATTAAACTGATAAGAAAGGGGAGAGAAGTTTCTTTGCTCTAATCTGTACCAGGCCCCACATGCCTAGGAATGGCCTTCCTCTAATCCCTACAACATTCTTATAATGATGCTTTTCCAACTATATAGTATCTTGATTGCCTATGGGAGAGAGCTAAATGATGTTAAAAAAAAAAAAAAGAGAGAGAGAAGAGTAGAATTCCAAAGGAGGGAGATCCACATCCATTAGTCTACAGATTTTCTTTGGCTGCCTTCACTCTACAACAGCAGAGTTGAATAATTGCAAAAGAGACCATCTGGCCCACAATGTCTAAACTATTACCTCTCTGGCCCTTTATAGAAAAACATTTTCCAACCCCTGATCTAGACAATCAAAAATCTTACCAGGAAGTTTTCTCTTCACTCACTGAGGATCTTGACCCAAGTAAATCTCTAGGTTTCTTTCTATTGATATATCCAGAGGGGAACGATTTTCTGTGGAAAAGCAGAGCACAGCAGGAGTGGCTGAGACCCGGATAGATAACATGATCCGTTGAAGTAGTGCTCACCTGCAGGACAGGGAAATCTAAAGCCTACAGGTGCCAAGCAGGTAACATAAATTGCAGTAGGCCAGGTGGGGGCTCTGGTCTAGAGAGCACGCACTCACCTTTGGGGCAGTTCCAGCTGGGTGGCCTTGCAGAAATGTGGGCCCAGTGTTATCAGAACCTCTGGATTTTCAGGACCTCCTGGAAATTTGTTTTTGTAAAGTCCCCTAACTGGTTAAAATTTAAAAGAAAGTAGGAGAAAACCAATATAACACTGTGCGTTAACTACACTAAAATTAAAATAATAAAAATAAAAGAGGGCATCCACACAAAAACCTGCACATTATCATTACCAAAATTTAGAAGCAACTCAAGATGTCCTTCAGTGGGTGAATGGATAAACTGCAGTACATCCATACCATGGAACATTTTTCAGCACTAAAAAGAAATGAGTGATTAAGCCACAAAAAGACATGGAGGAAACTTAGATGTATTTTCTAAGTGAAAGAAGCCAGTCTGAAAAGGTTACAAAGACAAAACTATGGAGACAGTAGAAAGATCAGTGGTTGCCAGGGGCTTGGGGCTTGGACAGAGAGAGGGATGAATAGGCAGAGCACAGAGGGTTTTTACAGCAGGGAATCCATTCTGGATAATACTATAATGGTGGATACATGTCTATACATGTGTCAAAACACATGGAATGTACAACACTAGAGTGAACCCTAACGTAAACTCTGGAGTTTGGGTGTAACAATGTGTTGAACATAGGATCAATGATTGTAACAAATGTGCCACCTTAACCATGTTGCCTATGAATGGAAGAGGAATGGGTGTCCAAGGGAAAAACTGAAGTATCATTTCCAGAATGCATGCTAGGATGCAAAAGCAACAGACTTGCACGACACTGAGTTACCCAAGTTAGCGAGGGCTTTGTAAATTCCCTCTTCTCTGACCCCATCCTGTGTCAGATAAGAAGATTCTAAAACACCAGCAAGTCATTACAGAGATGCCCTCATTTATAGTGAAGTACAAACAACTGAGATTCTTCATAAATATTGAGGACTGTTGATGGTAGACAGCTCTGTCTCAGTGGGAGTTTCCACATGAACAGATCAAAGTGAGAGCAGAGTTCTAGAACTCGTGACAGTCATTAAATGCTTCACGTTTTAGGTAGGATATAAGTGAAACAGTTCTTTGGGCTGAAATCAAATCTAGCATCTTACATTAAGAAGATTAATTAGCTAATGTTTATGAAGTACTGTGCAGATATGCCCTTTTAAAATGCTAAAGTATTCTAAAAACTACATTGTAGCATTTTACTAAATGTAAAAGATCTAACATTCATCATTTTTTTGGTACAGGTTGGCAAAGATTCTTTTGGCAAAGACTACATAGAAAACTTAAAACAGAACGATATTTCTACAGGTAAAATTGCATCTTTTTTTAAAGTTAGTTTTTATGACTTTCCTCTGGGATCTGGTTACAAGAACAGTTGAATATAGAATAGAATTATTAGATCCTCCTCTGGTGGCCAGAGAATTTTTATGCACAGCCTCGTCTCTTCTTACTTAAATGTCGTTTGGTTAATTCTTTCATGTACATTCCTCCAGATGGGAATAAAATGATAAGAGTCTACAAACCTTCATCGTAGAAATGTTTCAAAAGCAGGTGACAAGAGAAAACAGGTGCTGCGTTCACAAAAGATATTTTAAGAAAAGTCATTGACTGTCATGGCTGGAAATGATCTTGGAAACCACTGAAGCTGATGCCATTGCTGCACAAAGAGAAACTGAAGGCCAGATTGGTTCTCAACGTGTCCAAGAGCACACAGCTAGTTGGAGCCAGTCAGGAGCAGAACGTAGGTCTTTGGCTCTGTTTCAAGGCTTTTCGCTACTGCCAAAGGCCGCCTGATCAACATTTCCATTTACACTCCAGACCATGATTCTTGATGAGATGCAAAGCTTATGAAGAAACACAACCAAGTTCATTGTATAGGTTTGACCTTTAATCTCTCAACTCAAGTCTGTCATTTCTTTCACTGAAGAAAAGAAATGTGACGATCTAGAAGAATGCAGATGTATCCGCTATGATTAATGTGGGCAAACTGGAAGGGGGTGGTGGTTTGCTGGGTTGTTACTAATGTAGAGCAAAGGTGCAACTAAGTGTAAAGGCTTCTGTCTTCCTCGTTGTATAGGTGATGGGTATAAATTAGCGCTAATTGCTTATTTCTTTTATCATTCCAGATGGTTAAAGGTTAAAAAGTTTTTCCAAAGATGAGTGGTGCATTGAAATCGCTAAGAGAGATTATCCATGCCAGGCTGTGTGTACATGATTGTAATTTCTTTTTTCTTTTAGAATTTACATATCAGACTCAAGATGCTGCTACGGGAACTGCGTCTATAATTGTCAATAATGAAGGTACATGTTTCGCATATTGAAGTGTCATTTCATGAAGTAGTTCATGTCCAGAACGAGAGCAGGAGCATCAATTTTTACCATAATCCTATGGATCTCTTCCCATACCCACCACTCCAAGGCCTCAAGTGTGGTCTTTCCCATCTAACTGTGCACGTTTCCCTTTATTTATACTTCCCAACTTGATCATTTAAATACAAAATTGTCCATCAATACATAGGAAGTGTTACAGTTGCCTCAAAATAATATTTATATCCTGAAACGTCCCATTACCCTTCATATGAACTCAGAATTGATATTTGTCTCTAAAAGCAGTTAAGTATTCATCTGTCATTTCAGTTATACCAGGTAAATAAATGTAAATAGATAGGTGCACAAGAAAGTTAATGAATCATATTTATAGAATATTTACTGAGCAAATGGCAGCAACTAATTACTTCTAACTTATCATTAGTGTTCAATTTTGTCTGCTCTTTAAACGGCAATCAAATCTCAAAAGCCTATATATACAACTACGTCTGTCTGTCACAGGGCCTTGCAACAGTTGAAACATTTGTCTTTAGAAAACAGTAACTTCCCTTTACCCTCAAGTAAAGTTTTCATCATTTCTGCCAACTATTTTAAATATTAAAAAAAAAACCTACGTGAAATTCTTTAATTCAGAATGAATATTCAGAAGTACCAAGCCTTTCATGGGGCACCTCAGACAGAACCTGGTGCATTGTGGGCAGTCAGCGTGCACTTTGTGAAATTAGGATTTGTCATAAAATGTCTTTGATTTGTAATATAGTTTTATACAATCGTTTCTCACAGAAGATATGGTATTTTTAGTTCTACTCTAGTGATCCCAGAGTTGCAATAACAATGAAAAAATGTATTCCACTTAAAGAAGATAAAATTTTTCACTCTAACAATAGACAGTCTGTGTTCATTACTTTCAGCTAAATTTTAAGTAATTATTGCTGTCAACAGCAGTTCATTCCGTCTTAAACCTCTTTTTTGTGTTCTAGGGATATCTTCAAGTTCCATTTCTTCCTTATCGATGTAGCAAGAAACTACACTTTCCATGCAAAGATATAGTTTAATATTGTGTATTGAGTGCCTATTATGCTAGAACTTGTCTGATTTATATATCGCATATGGTAATGCCCTTGAGACTATAGATTGTCATAGAAGAGCTAACACAAATACCTAGAGAGGCGACCCATCAGCTCCCTTAAGTGAAGGAATGAGTAGCAAGGTAAAGTAAAGAATTCAGTTTTGACAAGTTAAACTGGAGGCATGAATGATCTGGCCATGGCCATGTCTACTAGACAGCTGTAGTCTTGGTCTTGTTGCTTATCAGCCAGGGCCAGGCCAGAAACGTAGATCCAGGAGTCAGCAGCACACATGCAGAGAGAATAAGGTCACTGAAGGAGAAAAGGAAGGAGATATGCTGTCTTTCAGTGTGTGGGTACTTTGAATTTTTTCCAGTACCAAGATTGGGTTTATGCTGAACCATCCCCACCTTATTAAGTTCTGCTTGTGGCCAACAGACACATCTGTGTAAGATGATAGGCTAGCATGTGTTCTGTGTTCAGAGGTAATTTTAGGTCATGTCTGTACAGATCATCACAAGCAGCCTGGAGCACAAAAAAGAAATGACCACTACAACTCGTCCCTCTAGATCAGTGCTGTCCAAAAGAAATATAATGCAAGCCACAGACATACTTTGAAATTTTCCATGAGCCACATTTTAAAAAGTCAAATAGGTAAAATTAATCTTAATATACTCACTTAACCTGAAATATCTAAAACAGTCTTTTCAACATGTAATCAAAATGTTCTTAAAAACTACTGAGATATTTTACCTTTTTTTTTTTTTTTTCTCAGTCTTTAAAACCTGCTGTGTACTGGGTGTTATATGCAGCTAATGAATCGTTGAACACTACAACAAAAACTAATGACGTACTATATGTTGGCTAACTGAACATAATAAAAAATTTTTAAAAAATAAAAATAAAATCTGCCGTGTATTATACAATTGAAGCACATCTCAATTTAGACCAGACACATTTCTTTTTTATTTTTTAGATTTTATTTATTTATTTGAGAGATAGAGAGCACGAGAGGGAAGAGGTTCAGAGGGAGAAGCAGACTCCCCGCCGAGCAGGGAGCCCGATGCGGGACTCGATCCCGGGACTCCAGGATCACGACCTGAGCCGAAGGCAGTCGCTTAACCGACTGAGCCACCCAGGCGCCCCTAGACCAGACACATTTCAGGTGCTCGAGGGCCACATGTCGCTTGGGCTCGTGACTCTCATATGGGACAGCACAGCTCTTGAGGGCTCACCTCACAGATAAAATGTACCCCCACTTCTTCCGCATTTAGCTGGGATTGTCGAGAGTGGGTCCAAGTCATGAGTATATAAGATTCTTACTTCAGCTTTGGTTTGATCTGGTACTCCGTAGGGTCAGATATCCCTCTCTTGACCTTAGGTTATCTGGCACAATTTCCCATCTGTTAGATATTATAAAATATGTTTTGGTTTTCAGAATACCCTAAGGTACACACACAAACTGACTGCATACTACAAAGCCTTAGTTTTTACTGTTGGGCAAGTTTACTCCTGTTCGTACACATCATTATGACATCTGTCATTTTGGATTTGGATCTTTACCACAAACTCTGTACCAGTCATTTTTAACTATGTTATATATCATTTTCCAGCTAGTATTCTTTGCATATAAGAATATTGATAGGGGAATTATGTTTTAGATTTTACTCAAAATTATCAGAATAATATTAAACCTACAGAGCAGGGATATTGTAAAAGAAGATACAGTAGGAATATAGAATTTCACCGGAATCACCTAGAAATGTCAAAATTAAGACTTAAAACACATTTAGCATTATGACTTTGTAAGGGTGATTGTAACATTGCAGAATATCATCGCTTGGTTTTTAACATGAATATGTGGAAATTCTTTATAGGCCAGAATATCATCGTTATAGTAGCTGGAGCAAATTTACTTTTGAATACTGAAGACCTGAGGGAAGCAGCCAGGACCATTAGCAGAGCCAAAGTCATGATCTGCCAGTTAGAAATAACTCCAGAAACGTCTTTGGAAGCCCTGACAATGGCCCACGGCAATGGAGGTGATTTTACATATTTGTTATTCTTCCTACAAAAGCTTTTATCACTGCTATAGGGAAAGGTAGCCTTTCAAGTTAAGCAAAGCAGTACTTTCCCTGGAGTAAAATATGCTTTCTCCCACCTGTGAGATTCACGGTCTTCTTGTAGTTCTTGATAATGTGAGAAAAGCTTACAAATAGGGTAAAAAAAATAACCTGAGTAGCACTACTGATATCCCGCAATATAAATCCTCAATCTAGTTAGCAGAAATAATACAAGTAGTGACTAGAAGCTCAGAAGCAGCCCGGGGCCCAACAGTAGAATGATGGCTTTCCCAAGAAGCAGAGGCCAAGCTGCATGTCACATATTATGATGGCCCAGGTGGGTCTGTTTTGATAAATGTATCTAGGAATTGAAAATTAGCTCTTTCTCCTTTTTGTAATACTCCATCTCTGCTCTGTAAACAACAAAAGATTATTTATATGTAGTATTTTCTACGTTGTCAATGTCCTTTTAAGCAGTGAGTTGGTTTTGTTTGACCTTCTATATTGGAAATTTTCAAACATACAGGCAGGCAGAATTGCATAGTAAAACCCTTCACCCAGCATCAACAGTTACCAGCACATGGCTAAGGTTGATTTCCCTGTCGTCCCACTCACTCCCCGCTTCCGCCCCCAGCAAATCACAAACTCTTTAAAAATCCAAATAGTTTCTTTGTGTTTGTTTCTTGCTCACCCTTGACTCCTGCGCAAAGCATCTTCTGAGTTAGAATCCCATTTCCGTGCCTTTTTAGCTTTGCGGTCTCTCCAGAATTATCCGACGTTTCTGAGCCTTGTTTGTTAAATGCATATATAGAAATACTCCCCTACAGAATTGTTCTTCTAAGAATGAAACAAAATAAAATATGATGCTGAGCATGATGTAATAAATCTCAATAAATCCCAAATTTCTTCTCCTTTTCACTTCTCTCTTTAAATTTAAATTAGGGTAATATCCGGATCGCAGCACGATTTGGTCAAAAAAAATCAAAAGTGAAAGTTGCCACTCTAAAACAATGGCTTCCTTTTGATATTGCGACTGTAGTTCTGTGACTTAAGAGAGAGAACCTTTGGGACGCCTGGGTGGCTCAGTCGTTAAGCACCTGCCTTTGGCTCCGTTCGTGATCCCGGGATCGAGCCCACATTGGGCTCTCTGTTCAGCAGGGAGCCTGCTTCTCCCTCTCCCTCTGCCTGCTGCTCCCCCTGCTTGCACTCTCTCTCTGTCAAATAAATAAAATCTTTAAAAAAAGAGAGAGAGAACCTCTTTGACTTTTCCACCTCAAACTTTCTTGTCAAGATACAAAACTAAAAAGAGAGAATAAAAAGAAGTGTGTGTGTGTGTTTGTATAAGTGATTTCTTCCAAAGTCTACGGCGTTCTACATAGCAATGAAAGTAAGTTACTTGAAGTGATTTTGTAGAGAATTTTTAAATGTATGTCCGGATTTAACAAATTTTCCTCTTGGCAAAACAACGTGCCATGGCAAATCCTCACTGACAGTTAATGTATTTTTAATGGACTCGAAGCTGTCAGGAAGAATTCGAAGCCAAAACCCATTTGGTTACATTTTCTCAGAGTGTCACAGATAGAGTCTAATGCTATGGTAAGCGTTGCCTGCACTGCACTCATGTGAATTGAGCGATGTGAATACAACATGCCATTTCATTCTTGCTCCTGTCTTGCCTTCTATAGGTCAGGGCATATTCTCATCTAACTACTTTTCCTACTCTCCCTTGCTTCTCAGAGATCACTGTTGCCTCTGTCCTAGTCTAGTTACATGTTAACTACCCAGCCTGTGGAGGAGAGAAAGGTACAGCCACTACAGGTGAGGCTAGAGTTATCCAGATGGGCAGACAGCCTGACCTCGGGCTGTCATTTGGGTGTGTCCAAAAATGCTTCCTCCATCACCTGCCAGGCAGCTCTGCCAGGTGAGGAACTGGAGGACCTGGGCCATCAGGAATTGGCAGGGGTATGGGGCGCCTGGATGGCCCAGTTGGTGAAGCATCTGACTCTTGATGTCAGCTCAGGTCTTGAACTCAGGGTCGTGAATTCAAGCCCTGCATTAAAAAAAAGGGGGTTGGGAGGGAATGGGCAGGGGTAGTGATGGTAAGCCAAAGAGCACTAGCCAACGTCATGCTTTTACTAAGAGCCAGCATGTCTCAGTATGAATTCCATGTACTTTCATATATATTTGATCCTCAGAAAAACCTTATGACAAAGATATGGCAGGCATTATTCTCCCAAATTGAAGGTGGGAAGATAGACTTGTTGAGTTTAAGTAATTAGCTCAACCAAGGTCATTGTAGAAACCCAGATTTCAGAGGCCAAGACCCAAGTTATGTGTTCTAGAACACACTTTAAAGAAACTGCCACATCCCATTGACTCCAAGGAACTGAGCCTTTATGAAGAAAAATGAAATCCACGAACTGTAACACTGTTCAACATGTAGCCTCAGCTTCGAGTGTTTTTGCTGCTCATTCCTCGGAGACACTAGAGGGCTTTCTGCAATGTGTCCCTTACCCACTCCCATAAAACACACGCACGCTGCACACACATGCGCACGTACTCTGCTGACCAGAACTCAGCTGGTCCTCACTTGGTAGTAACCAGCCAGAAGCAACTTAGATTCTATACCATGAGTGTGTGTGTGTGTGTGAGAATTTACTGTGTTTTCATTCTCACGTCAGAGAAGGCTGATACAGTGAAGGGAGCACTGGTTTGAGAGTCATGACGTTTGGCTTTGAATTCAGAATCCATCCCTTAGTAAATGGGGGACCACACGCAAGTCAGTCAGTTCTTCGCTGTGGGCCTCTGTGAAACAAGAGAACTGGTCTGAGAGCTGTCCCAGCTGCTTCATGTCAGGATGTATGAATGGACTGATCACAGAGCCGAGCAGGCAACGCTTAGAGATGTGTTGAGCACTGCGGGTCCTGGCCACTGCCCCGCGAGGCTTGTTTCGTGTGATAACCGGCAGTATTCCATCCATAAGAAGGTGGTAAAGTCCCCCTCCTCCTCCTCTGTGGGTTATTATCACAGCTCCCTTATCTGTCCTTCTTAAAAGTAATGAATTCTGAGTTAAACACATTGTATGACTGGATTATATATAGTTGTTAAAATATAGAGAGAAAAGACCCCCCCCTCCATCTTTGAACATACAGTTTCAGAACTCTCTCGACTTCACCTACAGGAAAGCATTGGTTTTAAAGGGACAGCACGTGCAACATCAGAAATGAACCAGTGGCCCTCGACGGCCACTGGTCATGATGCTGTGAGGCAGGCCCACGGCAGGCCTGGTGCTGCAGCTGCTTGTGATGAAATTATGCATGTCGGGTCTGGTGTTTATATCCATTTCAAAGCAAATGGAACATGACAGGAACAATTATAAATAATTGACATTGTAAGATCGCCAAGATTAAATTCTAGGTAGGATACAGAATATCTTTTTTTTTTTTAAGATTTTATTTTTTTATTTGACAGAGAGAGACACAGCGAGAGAGGGAACACAGGCAGGGAGTGTGGGAGAGGGAGAAGCAGGCTTCCCGCGGAGCAGGGAGCCCGATGTGGGACTCGATCCCAGGACCCTGGGATCATGACCTGAGCCGAAGGCAGACGCTTAACGACTGAGCCACCCAGGGGCCCCAGAATACCTTTTAATGACACTTTAGTCCTTGTCCATTTGGCAAACCAAACTTCTTGGCTAGCCACCTTGACTTTCACGGTGACGTTGTCCAGCCCGTGGCCCAAGTTGGTGGAGTGTTTCTGCTGCTCACTCAACTCACAGAAAACAACCCCTCAAGGGAGACCGCCAAGCCAGCGTTTTGGTTACCCCAGCCTTCCCATGGTTTCTTTACTTAGGGTGACTTTCTTCCTGTTTCTCTGAGCTAATTATTAGAGCCTTCTTAACTGTCCAGCTCCTGCCCTGCATGGTGACACCATTCTGAGCTTCCACCTCATTTTCCTGGTTCTGCACCTACGCAGCTGCCCTCAGAGGCCTCCCCAGTTCCTCACTGACGCTCTCGTGCCGGCCATTGGCGTGCTGTGAAGACCACCAGGAGTTTAGCCTGTCGGACGTTGTCATGAATAATAATTACGTTGGGTGCTATCAGTCACTCTGCAGCTCCAAGTTACTCCATGGTACCGCTTATGTCTCTATTTTTACGTGATTCCAGGATGATATTTTTTCCCACCATATCTATCACAAATGTGCATTCTTCTTTGATTAGCGATATCTACTCATTCTTCACATTTTTTTTTTTAACCAGGGTAAAGTGTTTATGCTTATTTATGGTGGCATGAGCCAAAGAAGAGTCCTTTCTTTATAGCATTTTCATTTTCCCCTAAATTTAGTTACTAGTCAGACTCTAAGCCTATGCATCCAGCCTATTACTGTCCGGCATTGGTCAGAATGCTTTCCTTCAGTAAAATACAAGCAAATAAGATTTGACTGATTTTTATACAATGTTTACAGTCGAATTAAATTGTAGGATTTCTCATTCCAGCAACTCTTTTTATTGCTTAAAATTCAGTGTAACTGTTTCTTTAAAATTTGTTTTTATTGTGGAAAATTTCAAATATATATGGACATACAGAGAATAGGACAGTAAACCCACATATACTATCGTTTAGCCTCAATAATTCTCAACACATGGCCAGTCCTGTTGCATTTACACCCCAGCTCACTACTCCCTACCCCCTCACACTGCAACCTTGGGTTATATTCAGAAGCACCAGCCAGACATTAATATCATTTCATTCACAATGTACTTGGTTTTTGATGTAAGGTATTATACATGTTTTAAGAATGCTGTCTCTGCCTGGTGTATACCAGGTAATCTGTGGTCAGATTGGTTCCCATCACCCTTTAGAACTAATCCCTTATTAGTTTAGGAAGTAAGCTCTCAGACTCTTTTCTTTTCTATGCAAGTGTATAAATGTAAATACACATATAATTATGCTTTGTTTTATTAAAAAAAAAAGAGGGGGTCATACTGTAGTTTTTATTACAAAACTTCCTTTTTTCGCTTACAAATTATAGAAATCTTTCTGTGACAAAACAGAGATCTGCTTCATTCTTTCTAACAGCAGCAGAGTATTCCATTAGAGGTATTTTTTTTTTCCTAACCAGTCCTGTCTGATGAAGCTTAAGTTTCTTCTTGGTTTTTTTCTGTTAAAGCAGAGCTGAATATCACTGGACCTCATTTTTGCATGCCTGTGTATTTCTGTAGGATAGGTTTGAAAAAGGAATTGCTGGATCAGAGATCTTTTGAGATAAAATGGAACTTTTATAAGAATGGCTCAATGCTGGGGCACCTGGGTGGCTCAGTCAGTTAAGCGTCTGCCTTCGGCTCAGGTCATGATCCCAGGGCCCTGGGATCGAGGCTCACATCGGGCTCCCCGCTCAGCGGAGAGTCTGCTTTTCCCTCTCCCTCGCCCCCTCCCCCCCACTCATGCTCTCTCTCTCTCAAATAAATAAAATCTTTTTAAAAAAAAAAAAGAATGGCTCAATGCTGTTGTTCCATACTGGTAGCTTGCTCTACCCTGCGCTCAAATGCCTTTGCATGCAGATTTGGAGATCACAATACATGAGCACTGCTTTTTCAATTCACCGTTTGAGGAAAATAGGGAGCCATGGTATTTGTCCTGGAACCATAAAAAGTAAATGGGTGTGTTGCAATGCTGGGCATTGAGGGCCTTTATGCATAATTGACATCTCTAGGACCTTGCAAAAGCGGGAACACCAATGAGAGAGACCGTTGCCAGGCTACGAATTCCAACAGAAGGCAAAAGAGATGGGTGGACAGGCGGGGGTGTCGGGCTGTGTATGAAGGACAGTATAATAACAGTAATAATCCCTTACGTTTGTACAACACTCTACAGTTTACATAGGGCTTTTACACCCATTTTCTAATTTAAGCTGCACAGTAACCTGTACAAAAATATAAGCAGCCAAAAATATACCATAGAATTTCTGTGGGTGGACGTTCTGGATTCTAAAATAATGAAAATGTGGGAATCGTGTTAGCCTGTAAACCACTGGACAAGATCCACTGACCAAACCAAAATGTGAAGACAAATGAAGGTATAGAGGCAAACTAGGTAGTCTCACCAGGCAGAAGTAGTGGGCAGTTTCCATCAGCCACGTGCTGATGAGCATCTCCCCAAGAGGTTCCGTGCCACGAGAACTGCGGAAGACTCACTTGGGGAACTCATCCGTGCACGTGTTCCCCAGGAGATTCTGATCAGTGGGTTTGAGGTGGAGCCCAAAAGTCATGCACTTTTTTTTTATTGTTATGTTAATCACCATACATTACATCATTAGTTTTTGATGTAGTGTTCCATGATTCATTGTTTGTGCATAACACCCAGTGCTCCACGCAGAACGTGCCCTCTTTAATACCCATCACCAGGCTAACCCATCCCCCCACCCCCCTCCCCTCTAGAACCCTCAGTTTGTTTTTCAGAGTCCATCGTCTCTCATGGTTCGTCTCCCCCTCCGACTTACTCCCCTTCATTCTTCCCCTCCTGCTATCTTCTTCTTCCTTTTTTTTTCTTAACATATATTGCATTATTTGTTTCAGAGGTACAGATCTGTGATTCAACAGTCTTGTACAATTCACAGCGCTCACCATAGCACATACCCTCCCCAATGTCTATCACCCAGCCACCCAATCCCTCCCACCCCCCACCACTCCAGCAACCCTCAGTTTGTTTCCTGAGATTAAGAATTCCTCATATCAGTGAGGTCATATGATACATGTCTTTCTCTGATTGACTTATTTCACTCAGCATAACACCCTCCAGTTCCATCCATGTCGTTGCAAATGGCAAGATCTCATTCCTTTTGATGGCTGCATAATATTCCATTGTGTATATATACCACATCTTCTTTATCCATTCATCTGTCAATGGACATCTTGGCAAAAGTCATGCACTTTAATGAGCTCTCCTAGTGATGCTGATGTGCACCTAAGCTTGGGAGCCACTGTTCTAGAAGGGTCTTTGAGAACTGCAGCTAGAAGATTTGACTCTATGGGTCTGTAGTAGATTGGGGTCACTAAACACATAAATCAGTGGACCTGGGTAGAGGAAAAGAAGACCAACCAATCTAGTTGGGTCCTCTCGTGGATGAGTAAGTGTTTTGACAAAGGGGGAGCTTCCTGTGAACAGAATCTCTATAAACACTTGCAAAAAATATGTATTTACAAAGTTCCACCCCAAAGGCTGTTTTAAAATATTGTAAATTGGGATGGGGGCTTGTGCTGCTATAAGTAGTCCTGGCCTAGAGAGATGACCAAACACTGGTCTTAAAGCTGGAGGACCCCAGATGGGAACCCAGCTTAACCATGTCCCAGTGTATGACCTTTGACCTCATCTCTCTGAAACTCACTTTTCTCCTCTGAAAAATGTAAAAATTCTTCTGACACTGTAATGCTGTGACATTCTCATTTTCCCTGCTTCTGCTATCGCCATCCATCCTTCTCTTGTAGGCTCCTCATCTGAGCTAGCTGTCAGCCTCAGATTGAATTTCTCCTCCTTTCTCAAGCTTTCCTTTATGTTCCCAGATTGCCAAGAACGTAAGCTTCTGTGAAAAGTGTATGTTTAGAGTGCCTGGCTGGTTCAGTTGGTGGAGCATGCGACTCTTGATCTCGGGATTGTGAGTTCAGGCCCCACCTTCGGTGTAGAGATTACTTAAAAATAAATTCTTAAGGTCTATGTTTGCATGAGTAATCGTGATATATTTGGAAGTCATGCATAGGTGTTCAGAACCTACATATGTACATGAACTTCCTACATCCTGTTCTTATCAGGAAATTTTTTACTTCTTCATTATTTCTTTCCTAACATCTTTTTCTTTCCTGGAAAATGGATTTATGAACAAAAATGTTCACACCAGCCTGAATGTTCACATTCATACATGTCCTTTCATGCCACAGCATTTAAAATTTTCTTTAATGTTGCTGGCCTTTGCCATAACTTTGTAATCACCTTGGTTGTAATACTGTCGCTTGCCCTTGAAGTTGAAATGTTGTAAAGTGAAAAACGGAGCAAATAGAAATAAGAAGGGGCTGGTACTAGGTCACCATGAAGATTGAGATTTCAGACTTTTCTAAGTTGATTTTTCATCTAATAGGGAAAATGGCTGCACAAGGGGATTTCCCTTAGTGACCGTAAGCACACCATGTTAAAAATGGTGACCACTGAACCCCCTTTCCATTCCTTTACAGTGAAAACATTGTTCAATCCAGCTCCTGCTGTTGCTGACCTGGACCCTCGCTTCTACACCCTCTCAGATGTGTTCTGCTGCAATGAAACTGAGGTAAGGATGGAACGTTTTACTCATTCCATGAGAAGCCAAAGACTTTCATGCAAGTGGATAAAGGAAAGAGGCAGGACTAACCACGTCAGCTTGGTTGCATGCAAATTCTTGGACCCAGTGAAAACAATTTTCACTAACTGGGGTGTGGAGAAAAGGAAATTAGTGAGTCCTAGGGGGAAAACAAAAAGATTCTCTGAGTCATCTCCATAATCTGGCACTTTTCAAACCTCAGCTAATTTTAGTTCTCTCCCTGCCTTCACACTATTGGTGGTTTGTTTTCTTCTTTAATTCTACATTCTATGGACTAATTAGTATTAGAGTTGCTAGATTTAGCAAATAAAAATACAGAATGCCCACTTAAATTTGAATTTCAGATACACAGCAAATAATATATTAAATGTACTATGAAATGATTTGTTATTTATCTGAAATTCAAAATCAGCTCATCCAACAACCCTAAGTAATAGACAACCCTGGAGCATTTGCCACCTTCTCTTGTGAAGACCCTGTGACCACAGGGGTGGATAGAGGTGCTCCACTGATGCCACGGGAAGGACCTCAGGGGCCCCTCTGTTAGGAGAGGGCCCTCTCAGTCCATCTGAGCATCATAGTGGATAGAGCTGTGTAAGATATCTACCAATACATTCAGATTGTGCCATTCATTCTGAAGCATTTTAGGAAGAAAATTTCAGTATTGCTCCCTTTCTTGGCCAGACAGTTTTAGACCAGAGCTCTCTCTCAACATTGGGAGGCAGGACATATGATACAATGCAACATGCAGAGAGAGAAAGTTAGTAATTAAAGAACTATAACAGTGTAGGAGGGTTCCCGTTTCTCCACATCCCCGCCAACATCTGTCGTTTCCTGTTGAGTTAGCCTGGTGATGGGTATTAAAGAGGGCACGTTCTACATGGAGCACTGGGTGTTAGATGCAAACAATGAATCATGGAACACTACATCAAAAACTAATGATGTAATGTACGGTGACTAACATGACATTAAAATAAAATAAATAAAATAAAATAAAATAAATAAAATAAATAAAATAAAATAATAAAATAAAAAATAAAAAAAATAAAAGAACTATAATAGTACCTGTCCATGTGGGTCAAAGACTGAATGGGTGTTTCCAGGATTTCCTGACCTGCCTTTTTGTTGTCTCTCAGAACAGAAGTAAACGAAAAAGAAGACTGCCGCAAAGAAACTAATTTTAACAAATCACAATAGGCTATACAATATTTTGGAGCAACCACCATGGCCAGGCCTTGTGCTAGGAGAAAGGGATTGTGGGAAATAGTAACCATTTCCCAATAAGAAGTGCGATTACCCTCCACTGCCACCTGATTTGCCTGCTACATACTTGCAGAGCCCTATATTTATTCTTCAAACACTCATCACAGCTCAAATTACTTATTACTTCGAAGTCACTCAGTATCCCTTCTGGCCCATTCTATTGATTGAGGCAGGAAAGCCTGCCCTCTCGCCCCACCTCTCAATAGAAGATTATCCTTGTCACAGTGTGAAAAGAGCATCCACGATGTGATATACATTGATGGAGTTATCTTTGGAAATTACCATCTGTTATATTGTACCTGGCATATAGTTAGCACCTAGTAAGTGCTTTTTGAATGAATGAACAAATGAACAAACTTTGATCTTTAAGAAAATTGATCTCAAACACTCAGTAGAAAAAAGAAAAATTTTAAAAGCTTAATGTTCTTACGGAGGACTTCTAATCATGATAATAATGTAAATTCATGCTTTAAGATACCGTCTCTGGGGGCACCTGGGTGACTTAGTTGGTTAGGCATCCAACTCTTGATTTTGGCTCAGGTCATGATCTCAGGGTCATGAGATCAAGCCTGGCATCAGGCTCTGTGCTAGGCCTGGAGCTTACTTAAGATCCATTCTCTCCCTCTCCCTTTCCCCACCCCACTGCTCTCTCTCTAAAAAAAAAAAAAGAAAGAAAGAAAGAAGAAAAAAAACTCTCTCTGCTCCATACACAAACCATTAATATATAAGTATACAAGAGACAATGAAAAGATACTCACAAGCTCAGAAATAAGATAACTCCCAGAGCAGAAAGGGAACAGGATCCTAGAGCATTCAGCCCTGAGTGTGCTAGGTGGTAGGGACCTCCAATGGGTCATGGGCACTAAAAACGTGCCCCTCGTGGGAGACTGGAGCAGTGCCCACTGCTGGACCCCAGAGAGGCTGGGCTGAGGCTCCCCTGCTAACCAAAAAAGTAGAGGAAGCTGCTAGGCCTGCTACCTGGGACTACAGCATTATGTAAAGCTACCCAAGCCGAGGAGACAGGAGGACAGAGGTACTGCCTATGATCAGGAAGGAATCAAGCCAACTGCTAACTTGGTGACCGGGAATGTGACTAGATTGGCAATATCACTGGTAACAGCAGAACAGGAACTCCATATTGCCGACATAACACCTGGCTCTGGTTTAGAGACCCTCAGGGGCCTGATGGATGCAACTACAAAACCACTGGAAAGGCAGGGATAAGCCTCGTGGGAGCTGAAGTGTGGGATTCCCCAACTCACAGAGAGCAACATGAGCCTGCAAATGAAGAAACCTAATGCTCAAGAGTTATCCAACAAAATCAACTGTCTAACATGAATGAAATTCAAATAATGAAACAATGCAAAAAAGACTTTAAATATGATTGAGATTCTCATTCATTAAAAAAATAGAAAGTTAAGTGTGAAAGGATCAAAGCAATGATATGTGAATCTAAAAACCAATCAATTAGAAATCTTGAAAATGAAAAAACACCTTTGAAATATTTCTATAAAACACTCATTAGGAAGATAGACATTAGACTGGAATGAAGAATTGGTGAATTGAAAGAGAATTCATCAATTCACAAACAAGTGAAAAACTCAATTCACCTAGAAAGTATCACAGAAAGAATTTTTCTAAATATTAAGGAGGAATTTAAAGAAATGAAATACAGCTCGAGCGGCTCTAACATACATGTAATTGGAGTGAAAGAAGAAGAGAAGGGAGGGAACTGGAGAAAAGCAATATTAGAGGAAAAACTGCAAGGTGTTGTCTAGAACTGAGGAAGAGCATGAGTCCTCAGAACAAAAGTGTATTAAAAGTGCCACCGGGGGCACCTGGGTGGCTCAGTAGGTTGGGTGTCCGACTCTTGGTTTTGGCTCAGGTCATGATCTCGGGGTCATGGGATGGAGCCCGGCCATCAGGCTCCACACTCAGCACAGAATCTGCGTGTCCCTCTCGCTCTGCTCCTCCCCCTGCTCATGCTCTCTTGCCCCCGCTTGCTCTCCCTCTCGCTCTCAAACAAATAAGTAAAATCTTCTTTTAAAAAAAAGTATCACCTGAGATAAATGGATATAACTCTCTACTAACATACATTTTAATGGAACTTCATAAAATGAAACGTAAAGACAAAAGTATTTTAAATGGCCAGAGGAAAAAAGAGTACATATAGGTGATAAGAATATCCAATAGTTCGTTGCTTGTAAAAGGGGAAAATGGAAAAATTGATGTCCATAAAAAGAATAGATTTTTTTTAACCTGTAGTATATTTGCAATGTCTTTGTAGTGAATGGAATACTGTGCAGTTCAACAGAAGAAGAGCTACGCATATCAGCACAAATGAAATTATATTAAAGGAAGACGCACATGGCCAAATAATACCTATGAAAAATATGATTTACCTCCTTTAAAGAGAAATATCTGAAGCAAATAAAGTTAACACATAAAGATTTATTAAAAGCGGGTGGTAGGTACATGGTAGGTAGGGTGGTAGGTACATGGGTGTTGCATTATCTTTTACGTTCAGGATCCTTTCATCAAAGAATAGTTTTTTAACAGGTTTTTAGAAACCACAAGAATTCAGTGTTTCTGAAAATAGACCATCTCACCCCATAGATGTAAGCGTTCTCAGTAATGAAGATCAGTAAAAAACTTACGAAAAGAAAACAGAAGGTGGCCTCAGGGCATAGCCAACTCGGACAGAAAGGGTCTGTGGAAAAGACTGTTCAGGAGGGACACATGGTCAAGTTAATGAAACCTTTGCTGCTGGGGAAGACCAAAGCCCAGAAGGAGCAGACACTGGGGTGACTTCTAGGCCCCAGGAAGGGTTAATCTGGGCATGTTCAGAGCAGGCACAGGAAGAGACAGACCCTTTCTTAGGAAGAAATGGGATACAGAAAAGACAGAATTTGGTTATAAACCCTTTGAGTCAAAAAGTATCCTATAATTCATCTAGTCCAGTAATTTTGCAGCCACTAATTTCAGAACCAGAGAGGGTCCCCAGAGGTGCTCCAGGGGTGCTTAGGGGATGAGGAAGCAGGGCTACAGTCCTTCACCCCTACTTCAGCCAGAGCCCTTTCTACACTCTGGGAGAGAACTGTGGTCCTATGCAGGCCCCTCATTGTACAGACTGTATATGACGTGGGGAAAGTTCCAGAGTCAGTAAGTAGCAGACATCTAAATGTCAGCACGTTGCTCTCTCTGCGACGTATCAGTGCCCCTTCTACTCTGCTTCCATCTTCTGGAGCAAAAACAAACACAAGAAATGGGTGTTGTGCAAACGTGGAAAGCTGTGACTAGTAATAAGAGAAAGGCATTATGGCCCAAGAGGGGGCCTAGAAGAATTACGGCCTTAGGTGTGAAATTCACAGACATGATTTATATCAAAATCATTGGCAGTGAGCGGCCCCTCCCTTTTCTCCTGTCTTCCCTCCCCTCTTCCTTTCTTCTGTAGAATTCTTTGTTCCCTCTAACTCTTTTCAATGAAAATGATCACACATACACACAGAAAAAGCTGGAAGAACGATACAATGAATAGTCACATACTGTCCACCCAGGTGGTTGCTAACATTTGCTGTGTTGCCTCCTCTCTCCCCTGTGTGTGTTTCTTTTTGTTTTTGTTGAATCGGTTTCAGAGTAAGTTGCAGATTACATGATACCTGACTCCTAACTACTTCAGCGCACATCTCCTAAGAGGAGCCACGATACCATGATCACACTTAAGAAAAGTATTAATAACTCTGTACTGTCATCTAACATCCAGGCCACATTCAAATTTCCCCAGTTGTCCCAAGAATGTCCTTGAGAGCTCATTTTTTTTTTTTAAAGATTTTATTTATTTATTTGACAGAGAGAGAGAGAGCACAAGTAGGCAGAGAGGCAGGCAGAGGGAGAGGGAGAAGCAGACTCCCCGCTGAGCAGGGAACCCGATGCGGGGCTCGATCCCAGGGCCCTGGGATCATGACCTGAGCCGAAGGCAGCCGCTTAACCAACTGAGCCACCCAGGCGCCCCAAGAGCTCATTTTTATTGTCGTTGTTATTGGGCTTTTAATTTCTTTCCCTGGGCCAGTATGCATCAGAGTTCCCCACGGCATTGGTTGTTACGCCAAAGAAGGGAAACATTTTCTAGAAAAACAAATCTAATCTGGAAGTGGACCCAGGTTACTATTCTCACTGCTGTTTCCTCTTACTTGTCTGTATCCCAGGCTGAGATCCTAACTGGCCTGGCGGTCAGCAGCCCTGCAGACGCCGGGCAGGCTGCACAGGTGCTTGTGGAAAGGGGCTGCCACGTGGTCATCGTCACCTTAGGTGCTGAAGGATGTGTGATGCTGTCCCAGACAGAACCCGTGCCAAAGCACATTCCCACCGAGAAAGTCAAGGCTGTGGATACCACGGTAGGTTTTAAAATTTCAGAATCATGTCTGCCCCCTTGAAAAATCATCATTTAGTAACAAAAGATCCTGCACCTGAATTTTTGGATCATGAGGTGACAGGGCAGAAGAGAAGAAAAACCAAGTGGGAGGGCTAGATCTTAATCCTTCCCTAACCAGCTGGGGGACTTTATTCAAGTCCCTTAACCTCTCTGGGCCTCAGTTTCTTCGTCCATAAAATCAGAATATCAGTAGCATTATACCTGTATTACCTATATTCATTCATTCATTGATTCAGTAAATACGTACCGAATCCCTGTTACATGCCAGTCATCTGTTGGGAGCTGGGGCTATAGTGATGAGCAAGACAAAGTCTCTGTCTCATGGGGCTTAGATTGTAGACACTATAGCAATCGCTGGTCCTTACAAGCTTCGCGTGCGGAATGAAAGAGCAAGGAGCACTGTTTGGCAGAACTCATTCTTTTAGCCAACAAATAGTAACAGCTAACATTTACTACATGCTTACTGTGTCTCTTTTGCATACATTTCATATAATCTTTACAAGAGTTACAAGAGGCAGGTTACTCTCCTCCTTTTACAGATTTAGAAACTTTCCCAGGACCATAATGCTAGGACGTAACAGAGCTGGGGGTTCAAAACTCAGCCCATGGACTCCAGACACTTCTTGTATAAGGCACTGCATTAAGAACAGGCAGGTTAAGTGGACAAGTCACAGCCCAGAATGGGATGGAAAGGAAACAAGTTAGAAAAAAAGCTCAGGGTTCCTCTAAAACTGGGAAAATAAAAATTATTTGCTTATGGCCTAGAATTGAGAAGAGCCGGGGGCCTGCCTGGGTGGCTCAGTTGGTGAAGCGGCCAACTCTTGATCTCAGCTCAGGTCTCGATCTCAGGGTCATGAGTTCAAGCCCTGTGTTGGTCTCCACACTGGATGTGGAGCCTACTAAAAATGTTTTAAAAAAGAGAGAAGAGCTGACTAGCAAAGTATATAAATGTCAGGGGCCCAAAACGAGAGTTGAAGAATAAACATTTTAGGGTTCTTATTTGTAAGAAATTAATATGTAATTATTTATAAAGTATATTTTGGTTTTTATGCTTCGAAAAGACTTTGGGATGTAGGTCATTTATCAAAAAGGAGCCTGGTGAATCTGATGAAGTTATGGGTGCGAATATGCTTTGAAAAATAGATAAGTACAAGGAATGCTTTTGTAACATGAAATTACACCCTGATTGCCTTTCACAGCGTGCTTGATCAGGTATTTGATAAATTATACTTGGTGTTGTCATCCCCTTCATACAGAGTCATTTTGGAAACCATTATTTTTTTTCTATCCTGTCAAGCAGTCACCTGAATTTGAGAGGTTCCTTCTTAGTTCTGAAATTAGACTAAAACTAGTCCAGGTCCTGAACTAGAGTAGACGAGTTTACTCGTTCTTTGCTGAAAATGACGGGTCCTGGGGGGCGCCTGGCCGGCTCAGTCGGTAAAGCATGTGATTCTTGATTTCAGGGTCATGAGTTCAAGACTCACATTGGGCATAAAGCTTACTTAAGGGCGCCTGGGTTGCTCAGTTGGTTAAGCATCTGCCTTCTGCACAGGTCATGATCCCAGGATCCTGGGATCAGGCCCCGTGTCAGGCTCCCTGCTCAGCGGAGAGCCTGCTTCTCCCTCTCCCTCTGTCTACCGCTCTGCCTACTTCTGCTCTCTCTCTCTATCAAATAAATAAATAAAATCTTTAAAAATAATAATAAAATTTAAAAAATAAAGCTTACTTAAAATAAAATGCATATGATGGGTAAAAACTATACCTTAAAAATGAAGGGTCCTCGTGAAGATGTTGGGCCTACATATCCCCCAAAAGAGACTCAGCCTCTACTTCCAGTGTCTGTGTGGGTCACAGCTGCTTCTGTGGCAATGAAGAAAAGAGGCAGATTTTTGCTCTATGTCATCTGCCATCCAAGGGTTAAAGTACGATGAAGTAAATATGATCTCCGCACACCACATGGCTGTGAATACATACGTAGTCATAACAGTGTAAGTGCCAATTATTGATTTATCCCAACATGGAGATTATAATCCTGTTTTGAAGATGGAAGGATACAGTGAGTGTGTGTCTGTGCACCTGGGGAGAAGAGAGCGGAATGCCCATCCTCCAGAGGTGGAAGTCAAGAGAGAATATTGGAAACTGATTTTAAGAAGCAGCAGTAGAAGCCTATTACCAGGAATTGAAGATAAATACTAGAAGAAACCGCTGAAGGAATTTTAAAGTATTTGCCTCATGGAAATGGTTCGGAGAGAGATGGGGCATTTACTCTTTAAGCCTTGTCTATTTGCACTATGTGCATGGATGGCTTTGATCTTTTTCTAAAATGACAAAACACAGTGAGATACCACCTGACACCCACTAGAATGGCTACACGATAATAAGGTGTAACAAGGATATGGAGAAATCAGAACCCTCAAACAATGCCAGTACGAAGATAAAATGGAAATGGAAATGCTTTGGAAAACAGTCTGGAAGGGCTTCAAAAAGGTAAATTTAGAGTTACCTGGTCGGTAACTCTAACCAGCAATTCTACTTCTAGGTATACACCCAAAAGAAATGGAAACATGTGTCCACACAAGAATTTATCCACAAATGTTTATAGCAGCATTATTCCTCACGTTCCCAAATTGGAAACAACCTGACTTTCAACAACAGATGACTGGATAAACAAATTATGGTACATACATAGAAGAGAGTATTATTCAGCCATAAAATGGAACACTGATACAGACTACAGCATAGATGAACACCAAGACATTACACTAAGTGAAGAAGAAAAACATAGGGGACGCCTGGGTGGTGCAGTCACTTAAGTGTCCAACTCTTGGTTTTAGCTCAGGTCAGGATCTCAGGGTCCTGGGATCGAGCCCCATGTCACACTCCATGCTCAGCATGGAGCCTGCTTGAGATTCTCTCTCTCCCTCTGCCCCTACCACTCATGCTCTCTCTCTCTCTCTAAAATAAATAAAATCTTAAAAAAATAAGACAAACATAAAAAGCCACAAATTATATGCTTCCATGTAGATGACATGTCCAGAATAGATAAATCTGTAGAAACAGAGGGTAGATGGCTGGCTGCCAGCAGCTAGGAAGAGGGGGCAGGGAGATTGACTGCTAACGGGTACAGGAGTCCTTTCTGGGGCGAGGAAAATGTTCTGGAATTAGATGGTGGCGATGGGTGCACAACCTTGTGGATATACTGACAACCACTGAATCGCACACTTTTAAAGGGTGAGTTTTATGGTATGTGAATTATATCAATTTAGAAAACAGAGGTCAAACAACAATAACAAAAAGATCCATCTAGGCCCTTCACCGATGAGCAGGTACTCTTGTGATAAAGAATCTTCCACTTCATAGCTCCGCTGAATCTACTGAATGGGCCCTCAGCGTCCCCCCATTGGAGCGAAGGTGACACAGGAAACAAGGCTAGTTATTTTCTGGGTGTAGAATCTCCCTCAGCCTTTTGATGCTATCTTTGTCCTCTCATCCTGCACTGTCATTATGAAAATCCTTGCCTGTTCTGCACACCACTGTTCAGCCTCTTCATAAGTCCAACAAAGAGGAGATAATTCACACGGTGAGGCGAGGAGCTCCCAGGGAGGCATTTTCTCTGGAACAAATGGGCTCCTTCACTTTTCTGTCAGGAGGGCATTACTCGCTCTCAGGCGGCTTTATGACCTCACTTTTCTCCTCCTCCTAATCCCTCACGATGCAGACCTTTAAAAAAAAACATGTCGTGCCACCTAAATGTATACAATTTTTGTCAATCACACCTCAACAGAGCTGGCCAAACTGAACTAAATAAATCAGGGATGGCACGGCCGGTGGAAACCCCTTCAGTTGGCTCCCCTTGCCCACCCAAGACAGGCAGGCTGCCCTAGAAGGAGCCATTTCCCATTCAGCGTCAGTGTTCCTGCTCTGTTCAGCTCACCTCCATGTCAGTAGTTGGCTGTATCACTTCTATTTTAACCTCCGTCTTTCCTATTGTACTACCATGAGATGGGGCAGGAGTGCAGATGTCCTCCGCTCAGTTTGGGAGACATGACAGATGTATCTCTGTGTTACCTGAATCTCAGCCTCTAAACGCTGAACCAAATTAGTAGGGTTTCTGAGGGGTCTTTGTAGCCCCTACTCCTTTTGTCCTTGAAAAGAGCCTTTGCACAGTTCTGTCCAGAAACTTACCTTATAGCCAAGATACAGTTTGAGCTCCCCTGACTGTTGATTGCCAGGACTTGGAAAAGGGTTGGGAGAGGAAAACACTGTGGGTAAAGAGCAATAGAATCTTGGATGCTGAAGAGGTAACTATAAAATAATAAGGCTAACTTTAACTGCTATGTCAATTTATTATCCAAGAAGTTAACTGTCATTTCCTCCACATTTTGACCTCAGGAAAGTTAAGTATCTACTGATACTGCCACTGCTCAAAGTATCTTGGAAGATCGTCTTTTAGAATGGCCTTGAGAGCACCTTGACCCTACTTATCAGTCTACTGGGTTTTTTTCTTTCTATTCATAAAATTAATACATACTTAGTTCTCAAGAGGAGAAAAAGTCAGACAACATAGAAAAGTATAAAGAAGAAAGTCAAATACCCATGAGTTTACCACTTAGATGTAACCACCGTTATCCTTTTATTTATTTTTTTTAAAGATTTTATTTATTTATTTGACACACAGAGAGAGCGAGAGAGGGAGAGAGCACAAGCAGGGGGAGCGGCAGGCAGAGGGAGAAGCAGGTTTCCTGCTGAGCAGGGAGCCCGATGTGGGGCTCGATCCCAGGACCCTGGGATCATGACCTGAGCTGAAGGCAGCGGTTTAACCAACTGAGCCACCCAGGCGCCCCGACCACCGTTATCCTTTTAAATATTTTAAGTAGTCTCTGCACCCAAACTGGGGCTCAAATCTACAACCCACGAGATCAAGAGTCGCACACTCCACCAGTGCCCTCTCCACCATCATAC